CCCCCCCGCCCCCGTCCCATAGCTGTGTGACCTGAGGCCGTCCATGAGAGGCAGGAGTGCTGGTCAATGGGGAGGTGACCAGGGTCAGGGGTGGTGGTGGACACTGGAGCGGCTCCTAGGAAGGTGTCAGGGCTCTGAGAGGTGGGTCCCCAGTCAGATGAGGGCTATGTTCTGGGGATAGGGCAGGTGTCCTTTGAGAGCACTGGCCCCGGGGCTGTTTGTTTCCCACTCTGCCTGGAGAGTTCCCACTGAGGTGGGTCAGCAGCGGGTGCCTGGCCCGCCTCGTGCTGGTGCAGGGTCCGGGAGATGCCCCTCCACAGCTGTGGGGTGTTGGAGGGCAGAGAAGGCTCTACCGTTAGAAAGGGCCAGGGCTGGCGGGGAAGCCTTGCGGTGGGTGGGGCTTGAGGGGGGGGCAGGCCCTGTGAGCGCGCAGGAGCGTGTCCATGGCGGCGATGGGCACACACGTGTTCCTGAGAGTGCAAGCGTGAACACGTGCGGACACGCATGTGCATGTGTGAATGGTCCGTGGGGGTCAATGAATGAACCGTGTGCACTGCACGGTCTCAGCAGGTGTGCGGACGTTGGGCCGCGTGCACAGATGACCGCGGCCGGATGGCGGCAGGGGCGGGGCTCTGACCTCCCCCCTCCCGTCCCACCCCCAGCCTGCCGAGGAATGCTGTGTGGCTTTGGCGCAGTGTGCGAGCCCAGTGCGGAGGGTCCGGGCCGAGCCTCCTGCGTGTGCAAGAAGAGCGCCTGCCCCCCGGTGGTGGCGCCCGTGTGCGGCTCGGACGCCTCCACCTACAGCAACGAGTGTGAGCTGCAGCGGGCGCAGTGCAGCCAGCAGCGCCGCATCCGCCTACTCAGCCGCGGGCCATGCGGTTAGTGAGGCCGGGGCGGGGCGTGCAGCCGCAGGGGGCGGGGCGACCGTCCAGGGCGCGCGGGGGGCGGGGCGTGCGGCCAGCGTGACCCCACCCCGCCCACCACAGGGTCCCAGGACCCCTGCTCCAACGTGACCTGCAGCTTCGGAAGCACCTGTGCCCGCTTGCCCGACGGACAGACGGCCACGTGCCTGTGCCCCACCACCTGCCGGGAGGCTCCCGAGGGCCCCGTGTGCGGCAGCGATGGCGTGGACTACCCCAGCGAGTGCCAGCTTTTGCGCCGCGCCTGCGCCCGCCAGGAGAACGTCTTCAAGAAGTTCGACGGCCCGTGTGGTGAGCTCTGCCCCCGCGCACGTAGCGTGACCTGTGTGTGCACATGCACGGGCGCCAGCGCCGTGACCTCCACCCTCTCGCCCCTAGATCCCTGCCAGGGCGCCCTCGACGACCTGAGCCGCGTTTGCCGCGTGAACCCACGCACGCGGCGCCCTGAGATGCTCCTGCGTCCCGAGAGCTGCCCTCCCCGGCGGGCGCCCGTGTGCGGGGACGATGGAGTCACCTACGATAGTGACTGTGTCATGGGCCGTACCGGGGCTGCCCGCGGCCTCCTCCTCCAGAAAGTGCGCTGGGGCCAGTGCCAGCCGCGAGGTGGGCGGCTCCTGGGGGAAGCCCCGCCCTGCCACTCTGTGACCCACGCCCTGCCTGTCCCCACCCTCTCGGGCAGGTCTTGCAGGTCCCCTCTCCTCACCTCTTGTGCCCATGGCTCCCCTGCACGTCCCACGGTGGGGGCTGGCGAGGCACCCTGGCCTCTCTGATCCCCTTGGCATCCCCCAGACCAGTGCCCAGAGGCCTGCAGGTTCAACTCCGTGTGCCTGTCCCGCCGAGGCCGCCCCCGCTGCTCCTGCGACCGTGTCATCTGTGACGGGGCCTACAGACCCGTGTGCGCCCACAATGGGCGCACGTATGACAACGACTGCTGGCGCCAGCAGGCCGAGTGTCGGCAGCAGCGCTCCATCCTCGTCAAGCACCCGGGCCCGTGTGGTGAGCTCTGTGGGCGGGGTCCATGCCTGGAGGTGCTCGCCCACGTTGGTCCCTGCGCCCGTCATCACATGCCATCTCCATCCTGAGTCACGCTCCTCCTCGGCCCGTGGGCAAGGGCTGGTCACTCCGGGAGGCCTGGCGGGGCTATTGTCTGCCACGGGCTCTGGGGAGGGGGAAGCGTCAGGAGGGTACCTGGAGCTCCTGGGGGGAGGCGGGGCGCAGGCTGGGGTCCTCGTGCAGGCCCCCTGGTCCGTGCACATGGCCAAGCTGCCCCTGCAACCCCTGCAGCCCTCAGGTCCTCTGGGTCCCTCCCTCTTGGGACACACGCAGCCCCCTTGGAAGCAGAGTCTCATTGGGCCCTGAGGGGCCAGTGGAGGGTGGAGGCGGCGTGTCCTGTGTGGGCTGGGGCTGCTGTGGCTCTGCCCACCTCCAACTCTGTCTCCGTCAGTTGGTCTGTCGATCTTTCTGGTCTCTCTCTCTGCGTCTGTCTGTCTCCTCTCCTATGTCCTTCCTTCCCTCTCGGCTCCGCCTCTTGTGTCTTCCAGCCTGACTTGCTGGCAGGATGAGGTACTGCGCCTGCCGCCAGGAGCCTGCAGCCCGAGGTCTGCCCCTGGCATGGCAGGGGGGGGTGGCTCGCTGCTGTCTGGCCTTGTGGTCCTCAGAGCAAGTGGACAGACACCTCCTCCCCCGTGTGGCCCTGGGTGTGACTCTGGGTTGCAGGCTTCTCCCCCCACGGGGAGAGAGCCCCTCATGCATGCATGGGTGTCCCGGGCTGCTGGTCCTCAGGGGTCAGTAGCCTGGGTGGGCTGGGTAAGCCAGGCCCTCCCACCACCCACGGTGGGCCGACAGGAAGCTCCTGTGTCTTGGGGACAGCCTGCCCGCACTGGTGCCAGGCACTGGGCCGTTTGGGTCTGTCCTTGTCCACATCTGTCGTGTCTGTCCCTTTCTCTGCTGCGTCCTGTGCATCAGCCCTTCTCCCTGTCCGCTATTCCTTGCCATCCCCACCCTGGGAGCAGGTCTGCTGCGTGGGGCTGAGGGCTTTGGGCACAAGCCTGGGGGAGCAGGTGGGGTCACTGACGCCCATGTCGCCCCCAGACCAGCGTCCGTCCCCATGCCTTGGGGTGCAGTGCTCATTTGGGGCGACGTGTGCTGTGAAGAACGGGGAAGCCGAGTGCGTGTGCCAGCAGGCATGTCCAGGCATCTATGATCCCGTGTGTGGCAGTGATGGCATCACCTATGGCAGCACGTGCGAGCTGGAGGCCACGGCCTGCGCCCTCGGGCAGGAGATCCGAGTGGCTCGCAGAGGACCCTGTGGTCAGTGGTGGGACAGTGGGTCCTGTTGCAGGAGGGTGGGTCCTGGTCGCCGTGGTGACGGAGCCTCCTCCCCAGACCGCTGTGGGCAGTGCCGCTTTGGAGCTTTGTGCGAGGCCAAGACTGGGCGCTGTGTGTGCCCCTCCGAGTGTGTGGCCTCGGCCCAGCCCGTGTGCGGCTCTGATGGGCGCACGTATGCCAGTGAGTGTGAACTACACGTCCACGCCTGCACACGCCAGATCAGCTTGCACGTGGCCTCGGCCGGACACTGCCGTGAGTGGGGTCACGGGGGCCGGGTGGGCTATGGCACCTCCCCTGCCTCCCCCAGCTGGGGTCCACTGACCCCTGCTTGGCTCCATCCTTTGCAGAGACCTGTGGAGACATGGTGTGTGCCTTCGGGGCAGTGTGCTTGGCCGGACAGTGTGTGTGTCCCCGGTGTGAGCGTCCCCCGCCGGGCCCCGTGTGCGGCAGCGACGGCGTCACCTATCGCAGTGCCTGTGAGCTCCACGAGGCTGCCTGCCAGCAGCAGAAGCGGATCGAGGAGGCCCGGGCGGGGCCCTGTGAGCAGGGTAAGCTCAGGGGCCACTGGTGTAGTCTGCTGGGCGCCAGCCTCGACCAGGACCCGGTGGGTGACCGGCCTCCTCCCTACAGCTGAGTGCGGCTCAGGAGGCTCTGGCTCCGGAGACGACGTCGAGTGTGAGCAGGAACTGTGCCGGCAGCGCGGCGGCGTCTGGGACGAGGACTGGGAGGACGGGCCGTGTGTCTGCGACTTCAGCTGCCAGACCGTTCTGAGGAGCCCGGTGAGCCCCCTACCCCACCCGGCTCCGGGTGGGCAGTGAGGAAGCGCCACGGCCACCCACACTGATACCACCTCTTCAGGTCTGCGGCTCGGACGGGGTCACCTATAGCACCGAGTGTGAGCTGAAGAAGGCCAGGTGTGAGTCAGGGCGAGAACTGTACGTCACAGCTCAGGGAGCCTGCCGAGGTGAGCGGGCATGCAGGGCATGTCTGGTGTGGGTGCCAGCACAGACATGCTTGTGCATATGTATAGCAGCCTCTATGTTCCCTACGTGTGCACGTTCAAAGGTGTGTGTGCACACAGGTGTGAGGCATGTGAGTGTACTGTTCTGTTCATGGGTGTTGCGTGTGCGCTGTGGCTGGCGTGTATGGACACGTGTGTTGTGTCTTAAGTGTGCCACGTTGGTGCATACCCATGTTTGTGCAGTCAAGGTGTGTGAACACGTGTGTCTGTCAGTAAGCAAGTGTGCACCTACTGTGTGCTAGGCTGGGCTGCGTTCGGTGCAGGGAGGCAGCAGAGTCAGCAAGGCCCACACCCTGGGCACTTTCTCGTGTGGGGAGATTGACGGAGATCCAGTAAATGTCATGTTTTTTGTACCTTTGTATGTGCACAGGTGCTCACGTGTGTGTGCTTATGTGTGCCTGCGCATGTGTCTGCACGGGGGTGTGAATGGAGGAACGTGGTTGGATGTGTGTGTACACGTTTTCATATATGTGCCAGTTCACAGACCCTAATGCGAACGTGCATGGCTCTGGTTGTGCATGTGTGCACAGGGCTGCATGTCCATGATCTTTGGGTGTTCTGTGTGTTCCTGCGTGTCCATACGTGTCGTCGTATGTGGTGTGGGTCTTCACCTGTGACCCAAGCTCCAAGCTCTGGCCCCGGTGGGCGTCGCTTTAGGAGGGCTGAGAGGTGGTGGCCGGGTCCAGGTGGGCATCCAGCACTGCGTGGTGTCTGAAGCCCTGCCCCTCCCTGCAGGCCCCACCTTGGCACCGCTGCCACCTGCAGTTCCCCCACACTGCACCCAGACCCCCTACGGCTGCTGCCTGGACAACGTCACTGCCGCCCGAGGCGTGGGCCTGGCTGGCTGCCCCAGTGAGTACCCGAGCCCAGCTCTGACCTGCAGCCAGGCAGAGCCATGCAGCTGCAGTGACCGGTCCTGTCCTGGCCTTGCAGGCTCGTGCCAGTGCAACCCCCACGGCGCCTATGGCAGCACCTGTGACCCCGCCCTAGGCCAGTGCTCCTGCCGCCCGGGTGTAGGGGGCCTCCGGTGTGACCGCTGTGAGCCCGGCTTCTGGAACTTCCGTGGCATCGTCACTGATGGCCGGAGCGGCTGTACCCGTGAGTGACAGGGCCCGCAGTCGGTCCCCAGCGGAGCACTCCCGTCTATCACCCTGTCACTGTGCCCCTTGTCTCACTTGCTCAGGCCCTGGCCTGACCCACACCTGGCAGGGGCTGGTCCGGGCTCCGGAGCCGGTAGGGAGGCCAGGCGCAGACCTCAGGTCCCCCCCACCGCTTCCCCGCCCCCCAGCCTGCAGCTGTGACCCCCTGGGGGCCGTGCGAGACGACTGTGAGCAGATGACCGGGCTGTGCTCCTGTAAGCCTGGGGTGGCCGGTCCCAAGTGCGGGCAGTGTCCAGACGGCCGTGCCCTGGGCCCTGCTGGCTGTGAAACAGGTGAGGGCCTGGCCTGGCACCAACCTGGGCTTCCTGTGCTGGGGTGGGGCCATCGTGGGGGCCGGGCCTCCTGAGTCAGCGGGGTCCCCCGCGTCTGTGCCCCAGTCTCCCCTGCACCCAAGACCTGTGCTGGGATGCACTGTGAGTTTGGGGCGTCCTGTGTGGAGGAGGCTGGCTCCGCCCACTGCGTGTGCCCAACACCCACCTGTCCGGGGGCCAACGAGACCAAGGTGAGGGGTGGGGAGTGCAGTGTGCAGGGCGGCGGGGCTGGGCAGTGCATGGGGAGGTGGGGGTGGGGAGTGCGCAGGGTGGCAGGGGTGGGGTGGGGCCTCCCCCAGCATCCTTGCCCTGTGCCCCAGGTTTGTGGGTCAGATGGAGTCACCTATGGCAACGAGTGCCAGCTGAGGACCATCGCCTGCCGCCAGGGCCTGGACATCTCTATCCAGAGCCTCGGCTCTTGCCAGGGTGAGGCCCCACCCACTGCCCCAAAACTGACCCGGGAGCCCTGGCCCTGCCCTTGCTGCCTGACCCTGGCCCCCTGCCTGGACTCTTCTCTCCCTACAGAGGCCATTGCACCCGGTGCGCACCCCACATCCGTGTCTGTGGCCATTGCGGGGCTTGACCCGAGCAGGGCACTGCCACGCCCCCCCAGCGCCCTCCCCCTGGCTCCCAGCAGCACCCCCCACAGCCGGCCCACCCCTCGACCTTCATCACGATCCTGGACCACTGCCAGCATCCCCAGGACCACCGAGAGGCCTTTGCTGACCATGCCTCCCACGGCTTCCCCTGCGACAGCCAGCCTCACCTCGTCTGCCTTTGGTGAATCTGGCAGCGCTGATGGGAGCGGCGATGAGGAGCTGAGTGGGGACCTGGAGGCCAGCGGGGCCAGCTCGGGGGGTGAGCCAGGCTCAGGGATGGGGGGCAGGGCCCAGGAGGGCTGCACAGGGGCTGGGCTCAGACCATGCCTTCCCAGGACTTGAGCCCCCTGAGGGTGGCAGTGCTGTGAGCCCCGGGCCGCCCATCGAGAGGGCTTCCTGCTACAACTCGCCTTTGGGCTGCTGCTCTGATGGCAAGACACCCTCGCTGGATGCAGAGGGCTCCAGCTGTCCCGGTGAGTGGGGCCGGGTCTGGGGTGTAGTGTGAGGAGCAGCCTGGACTCGGCCAGGGATGCTGTTTCTCCTTCCAGGCAGCAGGCCTGCCCAGCAGGTGGGCACCGGGGTCTATGGTCTTCTAATCTGAGCACAGGCGTGTGCATGGTTTTGGGGACTCAGCATATGCACACGCACACGTGTGGTCTCGGCTCCTGCACACATGCGGGTGCCCAGGACCCTGTGGCTAACCTGTCTCTCCTGTCGCAAGCTGGCCTGGGTCATCACTCCGAGGAGTCTGCTTGGTAACTGGTGCCAGCCCTGCCCCGACTCACCACTAACCTCATGGCCATCTGACTAACCGCCACCTGTCCTGCACCCCGCGTGGCTTGCTGCTGGGGCCTGTGCCCGTGGCCGGCCCAGAGGCCGGGCACGTGCCAGGCAGGGCCTCACTGCTACCTCTCCTGCAGCCACCAAGGTGTTCCAGGGTGTGCTAGAGCTCGAGTCCGTTGAGGGGCAGGAGCTGTTCTACACGCCGGAGATGGCCGACCCCAAGTCAGAGCTGTTTGGGGAGACGGCGAGGAGCATCGAGAGTGTGGTAGGTGCAGGGCCCACGGGGTCGGGGGGCAGCCCCTGCCCAGCCACTGGCCTTCCTCCCAGGACAGACCCCAACAAGTGCCAAGGCGAGAGGGCCTGACGGCTTGACCTGGGCGGCTGCCCAGATCCCTCACCCACTCCCACCCACAGCTGGATGACCTCTTCCGAAACTCGGAAGTTAAGAAGGACTTCTGGAGCGTCCGTCTGCGGGACTTGGGGCCCGGCAACTCGGTCCGAGCCATTGTGGACGTGCACTTTGACCCCAGTAAGCCCCACCCCGCCCGGTCCCTCCTAGGAGACGGTAGGGGGCTGCACCGGTCTCCACCATGCTCAGTGTCCCCTCCTCCCCAGCCACAGCCTTCAAGGCATTGGACGTGGGCCGGGCCCTGCTGCGGCAGATCCAGGTGTCCAGACGCCGGTCCCTGGGGGTGAGGCGGCCGCTGCAGGAGCACGTGCGCTTCATGGACTTTGGTGAGCGCCAGGGCTGCCCCTTGCCTACAGCCCTCGCTGTGCCTTGCCCCGTGTTCTGACAATTCTCCTGCTTCAGACTGGTTTCCCGCATTCTTCACCGGAGCCACCACGGGAGCCACCCCTGCCGTGGCCACAGCCAGAGCCACCACTGTGGCCCGCCTGCCTTCTGCTGCTGTGACCCTTCGGGCCCTCTACCCCAGTCCCACTAGCCGGCCCGTTGGCAAGACCACAGCGCCCCCCACCACACGCCGGCCCCCCACCACTGCCCCCAGTCGTGTGCCTGGACGCCTGCCCCTGCCCCCAGGCTCCCAGCAGCCCCCAAGACCCTGTGACTCCCACCCCTGCCTCCACGGGGGGACCTGCCAGGACCAGGGCTCAGGTGGAGGCTTCACCTGCAGCTGCCCAGCGGGCAGGGTGGGCACTGTCTGCGAAAAAGGTATGGCCATCAGTCCTGGAGGTGCACGGGCAGGCAGATGGGGGCCAGGGCTGGAGGTGGGGCCGGGCCACTTTGGGGGCGGGGGGCGTGCTGAGGCGTGGGAGCCAGGGCTGGGTTCAGCTGGGGGATGGCCCGGTCCCCCACCCCCAGCAGTCCCTCCCTGTCTCCACAGCGCTGGGCCCCTCCCGCTCTGCGCTGGCCTTCGGGGGCCACTCCTTCCTGGCCTTGCCCACCCTGCGTGCCTACCACACGCTGCGCCTGGCGCTGGAGTTCCGGGCACTGGAGCCCCAGGGGCTGCTGCTCTACAACGGCAATGCCCAGGGCAAGGATTTCCTGGCGCTGGCGCTCCTGGGGGGCCGCGTGCAGCTCAGGTGGGGGGCCGCGTGCAGCTCAGGTTGGGCCCGGGGGGCAGGTCAGGGCTGGGGGAGGTACCAGCTCATGTGCAGGGGATGTGTGCAGCTCAGGTGGGGGGGTGCATGCAGCTCAGGAAGGGGGCGCATGCAGCTGAGGTGCAGGGGGGTGTGCAGCTCAGGTGGGGAGTGCATGTGGCTCAGGAAGGGGGCGAATGCAGCTCAGGTGCAGGGAGTGTGCAGCTCAGGTGTGTGGCGCGTGTAGCTCAGGTTGGGCCGGGGGGGCAGGTCAGGGCTGGGGGAGGCACCAGCTCAGGCGCGGTCTTGGCTCCCTTGGCCGTCCCAACCACCTGCTCCCACCCCCCAGGTTCGACACAGGTTCGGGGCCCGCGGTGCTGACTAGCTCGGTGCCCGTGGAGCCAGGCCGGTGGCACCGCCTGGAGCTGTCCCGGCACTGGCGCCAGGGAGCACTCTCAGTGGACGGTGAGACCCCCATCTTGGGCCAGAGCCCCAGTGGTACCGATGGCCTCAACCTGGACACGGACCTCTTTGTGGGTGGTGTCCCAGAGGACCAGGCTTCCGTGTGAGCATCGAGAAGGGTGGGGTGACCCTGACCCCAGACCCCTGACCTTGGCCCTGATCCCTGACTCCTGTGGGGAGCATCCAGGGGGCCCAGGCTCCCTGCGCACAGCAAAGGGGTAGAAGGATGGGTGTGGGCATGGCAGGGACCCTGACCTCAACCCCAGCCCTCGACCCTGCTCCTGCTTCTGTCGTACCTGAGGGGGGCATCCCTGAGGACCAGGCTGCCATGTGACCACCAAGGAGGAGGGCCTGGGCTGGTTCCGACCCTCAGTCCCGACCCTGATCCTCCACTCCCCTCCTGATTCTGTCCCGTTGTGGGACTGGCCATCTTGTGAGCACCCAAAAGAGGGGTGGGGATGAGGAGCAGCAGCCCTGACCCCTGACCTTGGCTGACGGGGGCCTGCCAGCGTTACAGTTGGCTGTGAGAGATGATGCCTCTGGCCTCTGACCCCTGACCCTCATCTTGGTGCAGGGTGCTCGAGCGGACCTCTGTCGGAGTTGGCCTCCGGGGCTGCATTCGCCTGCTGGACATCAACAACCACCGGCTGGAGCTCAACGACTGGGAGGGGGCTGTGACTCGAAGCTCCGGCCTGGGCGAGTGCGGGGACCACCCCTGCCTGCCCAGCCCCTGCCTTGGCGGGGCCCCATGCCAGGCCCTGGAGGCCGGCATGTTCCACTGTCAGTGCCCACCCGGCCGCTTCGGTGAGAGTGGGGCCTGGGCCCGGTGCTGGGGACGCCGTGTGTCTGTGGGTGGGGGCTCAAGCTTCCTGCGACCCCATCCTGTCTCCCTCCAGGCCCCACCTGTGCCGACAAGAAGAGCCCTTGTCAGCCGAATCCCTGCCATGGGGCAGCCCCCTGCCGTGTGCTGCCCGAGGGCAAGGCCAAGTGCGAGTGCCCCCTGGGACGAGGGGGCACCCTCTGCCAGACAGGTGGGGGCACCGGGCTTGTGGGGCAGGGAGGAGGGCGGGGATGGGAGGTTAGGGTCAAGTATTCGGGTTTGGGTTCTGGTTGGGATTCAGGCTAGTATTAGGGAGTGAGTTAGGCCCGGGGCTCATAGAGCAGTGGGGGTGTAGGGGACCCCAGGGGTCAGAGCCCGGCACCCTGTGTGACCCCTGTTTTGTCTTCCACAGTCTCAGAGCGGGACGATCCCCGGCCCTTCCTGGCCGACTTTCACGGCTTCTCCTACTTGGAGCTGAAAGGCCTTCACACTTTCGATCGGGACCTGGGGTCAGTGGGACAGAAGGGGCAGATGTGGGAAGCATCCCCCCAACCCCCACCCAGCCTGTGGGGCGAGGGGCCATCGAGGCGCCCCCACCTGACCCTGTGTGACCCCAGGGAGAAGATGGCGCTGGAGGTGGTGTTCCTGGCCCGCGGACCCAGCGGCTTGCTCCTGTACAATGGGCAGAAGACGGACGGCAAGGGGGACTTCGTGTCACTGGCGCTGCATGACCACCGTCTGGAGTTCCGCTATGACCTGGGCAAAGGGGCAGCGGTCATCAGGTGTGCCCACGTGGGTGGGCATGGGGGCCGGCCTGGCCCTGGGGTGGGGACAAGGCAGGCGGCAGGGTCATTTGGTCCCCTGGTGGGCAGGCTGGCAGAGCGCGAGCCTGCTCACTGTGCCCCCTCCTTGCCAGGAGCAAGGAGCCCGTGGCCCTGGGCACCTGGACCAGGGTCTCACTAGAGCGAAGCGGCCGCAAGGGCGCCATGCGAGTCGGCGACGGGCCCCGTGTGCTGGGGGAGTCCCCGGTGAGCGTCCGGCTGTGGGCCTCCCCTCCTCCTGCTCCCGAGGCGTGGCAGCCCCACCCCCACCAGCTCTCACTGAACTGTTTTCTCTCCGTCTGTCCTGGGCCTCTGTCTGTCTGTCTCCTCTCTGCTCCCACTGCTCTCTGGCCCTTGCTCGGCAACCCCCACCCTGCTCTTCGGATGTCAGAAATCCCGCAAGGTATGGCCTTCCTCTCATCCTGCTCGTCCATCTTTTCCGCCTCCACCTAGAGTAGCTCCTCCCAACTAAGCCCGTGGGCCGTCCTGTGATTAACTGCCTCCTAGATGGCTGGGGGTGTGGGATGGGCCTTCCGGGGCGGGGGCCCCTGGTTTGGGCCTCAGGGGTGGGCTCCACAGCCCCCTCACGCAGCATCTTCCCCCAGGTGCCACACACCGTCCTCAACCTGAAGGAGCCGCTCTACGTCGGGGGGGCCCCTGACTTCAGCAAGCTGGCCCGGGCAGCCGCGGTGTCCTCCGGCTTTGATGGCGCCATCCAGCTGGTACATGGGGCAGGGGTGGGGCTCTCTGCAGTTGGAGGTAGAGTTGCAAGGATGGGCTCATTCCAGGGGGCCTCCATCCTCCTGGGGCGGGGCTGCCTGAGCAGGGCCCCGGGGTGGGGTTGCCGCGGTAGGGAGGATGGCACACGGGACAGAGACTCTCACTCCCCGCCCCCAGGTCTCCTTGAAAGGCCACCAGCTGCTGAGCCAGGAGCATGTGGTGCGGGCGGTGGACGTCTCCTCTTTTGCAGACCACCCTTGTACGCAGGCCTCAGGCCACCCCTGCCTCAACGGGGCCTCCTGTCTCCCCCGGGAGGCCTCCTACGTGTGCCTGTGTCCTGGGGGCTTCTCGGGGCTGCACTGCGAGAAGGGTGAGCGCTGCCCGGCACGGGCCTGAGCCTGGACGGGCGGAGGCCCCCCACCTCGCCGAGGCCAGCCCTCACCCCGACTGTCTCTCAGGGCTGATTGAGAAGTCGGCAGGGGACCTGGACGCACTGGCCTTTGATGGACGGACCTATATCGAGTACCTCAATGCCGTGACTGAGAGGTAACGCGCCCCGGGGAGCCAGCGCCCCCTCTGCCCTCTCTCTTTGTCTGGTCCTGTCTGTGTGCCTCAGGCAACCACCCTTGGCTCTGTGGCCAGGAAGAGCAGGCTCTCCTCCACCCTCCTGTGCCCTCCTTCCTTCTCACAGTCTTTGTCTCTTTGTTTCCAAGCAAACTGACCAATGAGATCCCAGCGTAAGTAGCACCATGGCCCGATCTCCACCTTCACACTCATCTCATCTCTTCTCTGCTCCTCACCCACCTGGTAGCACATCCCAAGCCCTACTGAGGGCAAGGGTGGAACTTTCCATCCCCGATGGAGGAGGACAGGGGTTGGGGGTTCTTTGTGCTGCAGGAGGCTCAGTTTCCTAGCTTGGAAATGGGGAGTCACCTCTTCCCAGGATGTGTGCTGAAGGCCAGTCACCCCCTCCACCCCCCACAGCCACTCGCCTCGCCACAAGGCACTAGCACAGTGCACACGTGTGTGTGCGTGTACGCGTGCACTTGCGTGTGTCTGTGGATACATGTACACGTGTCCCAGTGTGCGCATATGCATCTGTGTGCGTGTGCACATGCCCACGTGTGCTGGGACACCCAGGGGCCTCTCCAGGCAGCTGAGCCCTTGGTCTCCATTCCATGCTCCCTCACGCTTCACCTCTTGAGCTTTGCACCTGGCCAGGGCCATGCCCAGCAGCTCTGTCTGCACAGGCATGTTGCCTGTGTGTCATTGCTGGGGCTCTGTGGTGGGGGGAGCCGATGCCCTGGGTCCTGTGTGTCTTGTGTGGTTGCTTGCTCCTCCCACCTTCCACTGTTGAAAGGAGACGTGGGGAGGGCTGCTGCTGGGTCCGTCCCCACCCTGCACTACAGCACGTCTGTCCCCTGCTCACCTGCCTCCCTCTCTTCCTGCTTCTAAGCCCCGAAGCTCCGGATTCTGGGGCCCTTCACAGGTGAGCAGTGGCACCTTGGCCCCGCTGTCTGCCCGTCGTCTTCCCGTCTCTCTGCCAAGCTGCCCCTCTGCGTGTCCCCCTCACTCCTCCACTCGTGTGTCTGCCCCCCAGCCACCCCGGGTCACATCACCAGCCTTTCCAGGCTCTGCAGTCGTAGCCCTTGCCCTCCCACCTCCCCCACCCATGCCTTGCCGCCCTCCGGGAGGCCCTGACCAGCCCTCTGCCCACCAGCGAGAAGGCGCTGCAGAGCAACCACTTTGAGCTGAGTCTGCGCACCGAGGCCACGCAGGGGCTGGTGCTGTGGAGCGGCAAGGCCACAGAACGGGCCGACTATGTCGCCCTGGCCATTGTGGATGGGCGCCTGCAGCTGGCCTACGACCTGGGCTCCCAGCCCGTAGTGCTGCGCTCCACCGTGCCAGTCAACACCAACCGCTGGTTGAGGGTCAGGGCGCACAGGTCAGCGGGGAGCCCAGGGCGCACCGAGAATAGCGGCGGGCGGTGCCTGGACTTGCCCGGCCAGGGCATGCCCGGTCACTTGTGGCTAGGGGGGGGGAGCAGGGCTGGCTGCCTGACTGGAGGTCACTGCCAGCGAGGGGGGAGGGACAAGAGGATGCAGGACAAGCAGTTATGACCAGGGAACTCCAGATCTGAAAAGGGAGTCCCTGCTCTGCTCAGACGCTGGGTGGGGAGGTGTCCCTTTGGTCTAAGCCTGGCTGTCCCCTCCAGCAAAGCTTGACCCACATGAGGCTCCCCTGCCATGGCCACCAGGTACTCTCCTGGGGGTCAGTGCCACCCCGTCCTGGCCCCCAGGGGTGACACTTGGTGGTGGTCTGCAGGGCGTGGCACCTGCCAGGAGTCCAGTAAAAGGGATGTGGGCTCAGGATCTAGAGGTAGCGGGGGGCCCTCTAGAGCCACCTGATGGCCTCACCTCACCCACACCCCCAGGGAACAGAGAGAAGGTTCCCTTCAGGTGGGCAATGAGGCCCCCGTGACTGGCTCCTCCCCGCTGGGCGCCACACAGCTGGACACAGACGGAGCCCTGTGGCTGGGTGAGTGTTTTGGGAGGAGGCCACGGGAGGGGCCGCCAAGGGTCTCAGACAGACTCCATTCCCTGGGGCCAGCAACCGAGAGTGGCACCTGAGTCGGCCCCACCCAGGACAGCAGATGGGCCGGCCGGGGTAGGGCCCTGTCTCAGCCCCTGCAGTTCCCAGGGCGGGTGGGGCCAGGAGGCTGGAGCACATCTGCTGGTCACCTGGGTCCTCCTGGGCACTGACAGACCCCAGGTAACTCACCTGGTCATTCCGGTGCCAGAGTCTGGGCCTGCCCATCACTGAGTCACAGCCGGGTGATCCTTCCTCTGTCTTCCTTCAGGTGGCCTGGAGAAGCTGCCCGTGGGCCAGGCCCTGCCCAAGGCCTACGGCACAGGCTTCGTGGGCTGCCTGCGGGACGTGGTGGTGGGTCGGCGCCCGCTGCACCTGGTGGAAGACGCTGTCTCCAAGCCAGAGCTCCGGCCCTGTCCCGCCCTGTGAACCACGCCGCAGCTCCCCACCCACCCCCCAGCTCTAATTATTTTTTATTTTTGTAAACTCATTGCTTTTTTGATATGATTTTCTTGCCTGTGTGTTGGCCAGAGGGACTGCTGGCCTGGCGTCTGTCCTGTCCAAGCAGGGGAGCTGCAGAGACAGACTCTGTGCTGAGGGATTCAAGGGGAAAGCAGCAGCGTGTAGGGCTTTGCTGGGATGGCAGCCCCAGGACCCGCCCCTCGGCCTCATGCCGCCATGGCCCGGCCCCTCGTGCTGTGCCCCGCCATGTGTCCACTGTGCTGGGCGCTCGTGTTGTCCAACCTGTCAGCAGATCCTGCATGCACACAGCCCACTTTCCATCTGGCGAGGCCTGTGTCCCCAGAGCAGGAGGCATTGCTGGGGTTTGAGGGGGTGTTTCTAGGTTCCCACTGGAGCTGCTCCTCCCCACTGCGTGTTCTGTGGGCAGGCTACCCTCACCAGGCCTCGAGCCCGGGCCAGCCCCTCCCAGGCCTCCTGTGCCAGTACTGTGACTTAGAAACAATGTTACTGTTGGGGCCGCATTGCGCCCCTCCCTCTAGCTGTGTCCACATATCCCAGGGTGCTGGAAAGCAGAGGCCAGGCCCAGGCCTGATTGGGGCACCCTGACCCTCAGCTGGCCCTGCCCATCCACCCAGCCACCCTGGACATGGCTGTGTCCCCTCCTGACACCCCAGACCTGGTGAAGAGCCCCGAGAGGGAGTGGGGCCACTGTATGATGTGGGTGACATCCACTGCTTGCCTGGCTGGGCAGCTGGCATCCCCCTCCCCAGGACGGACCTCGGGCCTGACCACCAACCAGAGTTCTTTACGCATTGATTTCATTTGACACCTGGGTGGCGGGGCTTTGTCTTCCCTATCCTGGCCGGAGAGCAGCTGAGGACACCACACAGCAAACCCTTTCTCCCGTTCTGGTGTGAGGGGTGCTCGTCCTTGTCCACGAGTGACCAGGAGCCGGCCGGGTGTCTGTCTAAGGCCGAGGGTGGGGTGCAGGGGCGGCAGAGGTGGCTGCAAAGCCAGAAATGCCTTAAACTGCAACCAGGCTTCTCATGGCATCCTGTCCTCCACCCACCCTCATCCGGGTAGGGGGGCAGCCCGACCCTCCCACAGACCCCTCCCACAGCTGGGGCTGGGCCACGAGCCCAGAGGCTGGAGGCAGCCCCATACGTCCATTACTAACTCCAGTCTCTGTCTGTGTCAATACCATGAAATAAAGTCTGAACACTTTAAAAGAGGTGATTTCGTCTGTCCACAGCCAACACCATTCCCACCAGCCTGGTCTTGCCCACCTGGCTGGCTCCTCTCTCTTGTGGCTGCGTGCTCAGCTATGTTGTGCGTGCGGCACTGGCTTCGAGCTCCTTTAGGCTGCTCTGGATGGAGGAGGGGGCCTGCACCAGAGCAGAGACTGCATTTGGCGAGGAGACCCCCCCCAAGAGTGAATGCAGTCCAGGTGGTCTCCTTGGGTGTGGCAGACTTTACAGGGGGCAACCCCCCCATGTGTGTATGTGCGTGCATGCCTGTTTGCACGTGTGTGCGTGTGCCTGCACATGTATGTGCGTGCATGCGTGCCTGTTTGCACATGTATCAGCCTGTGTCTGTGTGTCTGTGAGCACAGGGTGGGAGGGGGGCTGTGTGGAGAGAAGGCTGGCTGCACTAAGGGCAGGGAGGGCCTGGGGGGGACATGGGTGGACTGGGGGTGGGAGGGCCTGGGGGGGAGCCAGGGTGAGTGTGGGGGTGGCAGGTGGCCCTTTTCACTGGCCCAAATGTTAGGGTGACTGCTGGCCCTGCTGGGAGACCCTAAGCAGGAGGCCCTGAAGCGGGGCCTGTGGAGCTGGGAGCCTGACAAGGAGCGGGAAAGAAGGAAGTGTTGTGTGGCCTCCTCTTTGGAACTCCTGACTTTTATTAAAGATGACTAAGTGTTCTTTTTTGATTTCGTGTTAATAGAAAAACTCAGAAAATGAAAATAAGAGAACAAAAACAGCCATAAGCTCAGCCCCCAGGTGCCCCGTTAGCCCCCAGGCATTTGCTTTCTCATGCCTTATTCAATAGCTTGCTTGTTCAGGGTCGCGTGTGGAGTGGCTGCTGTGTGCCAGGCAGCTGTCAGGTGCTGGGATGGGGAGGAGAGAGGCCCTAGCCCCCGGTGCTTGGGGGATAACCAGGTGACAGTGAGTGCAGGGCACGGGAAGAGGACTAGCCTGGGGCTCCAGGAAAGGTCCAGGAAAAACATGCTCAAACGCAGACCTGAAGGGCAGAGGATGTGAAGGCCTGAGGTGGGGCAGGAGGCGGCTGTTCATCAGTGCAACGGCCCTGAGCTGGACGGAGGGTGCTCTGGGCAGAAAGAGGAAGTGCAGGGCCAGCCAGAGCAGCTGGGGGCAGGGCACAGGACTGAGAGGCTGTTGGTCAGGGTGGTAGGAGTGGGATGGAGACAGGGAAGGCAGATCCCTTGGGGCCTCGCAGGCCAGGAAGAGGGCTTGGGGCTCTGTTAGAAGAGCTGCAGGAAGCTCCCGGAGGAGTTCAAGCAGGAGTTGGTGGGACAGAGTGCTGGGGCCCAGGTGCAAATGGAGAGAAGGGAGGGATTTGGGTAGAATGGAAGGTCCTGTGCTGGGTTGGACTCTGGTGGGAGAGGCACTGACGGAGATGAGGTGCTGCCTGGAGCACCCAGGGTGTGATGCCTCTGGAAGCACTGGGCTCTAGGAGCTGAGAGCCACCTGTGTCTAGTTGAGGAGGCCCTGAGGTAGAGGGCGGAGGGGAGGCTGGGCTGAGGACCTGCACGTAAGGGAGCAGGTGGGCTCCACTGGGTGCTGAGTGAGGGGAGAAGAGGCCCCTATGCTGGGAGGAAGGAGAAGGTGGGACGGTGAGGCCGGGAGGACCAGGAGAGGGTGCTCTGGGAGCTGATGCTTCCAGAGGGAGGAGGGGGCTCTCGTGGCAACTGCTGCTGTGGGTGCAGGACCCTCAGGTGGCCAGGAGAGGTGACCTGGGTGAGTGGGAGAGGAAGAGCCGTGGGCAGGGATCACTGACAACCTGCTCTCAGCGGTGGTGGCTGGGGATCAGGGGTTGGAAGCAGCAGGAGAAGGTTCCAGGTCCTGGTGTACCATCATGAAAAGGTGGTGGGGAAGGCTGGGCAGGAGAGGCCCCTACGTTCCTAATGGGGATCAACCCCAGGCACAGGCTCATGAAAGGTGGTTTGGCCAGCAGGGCAAAGAGGGCAGAAGTGATCATGACTGTGGGCCCAGGAGACAAGCGAGACTGGTATGGAGGTGAGCCAGCCAGCAGCTGGAGATGGGGAGCAGCTGTCGCAGGAGCAAAGGCCCTGAGGTCAAAATGGGTGTCAGGTCTCTTAGGAAGTGAGGAGACTCCAGCGAAGGTGGCAGAGGTGGGGAGGAGGGAGAGAGGCAGCCCACGGTGCGAGGGATCAGAGGGAAGACTTGGGGTCCACTCTCCCACCTCCGCCGCTCTGGGGTTTCTTGGGGCGGGGAGTGGGGGTGGGACCTGTTCCACCCCCTCCCCACCCCAGCTGCAGGGAGCGCAGCCCCCTCCCCCCTATTACAGACGCGGGGCCCGAAGCGCCTGGAGGCTCTTGGAAGGAAGGTGCTCCGACGGAGCGGGACTACCAACCCGGCTTAATCACGTTGACGCGCTGCTGTGCGCGGGGGCGGCCGAGCTGGGGGCCACTCGCACCCAGGCCGCCCGTGTGCATCCCCTCGTGCTGCAGCTGGGCGCCCTCGAAAACTTCGCTTTTATCCCAACTTGCAAGCGCGGCAGCGAGCCGTGGGCGCGGCGCCTTTAAGGAAGCTGGGGGCCGGGCTCGCGGCGGGCGCGGCCCTGGGGGGCGGGGCTCGCGACCGCCGGGGCCCTAGTGGGCGGGGCCTCCTCGGAGCGGCTCGAGGGCTTGGCCGCCTGGACCGGACGGAGCGCGGTGCGGAGCAGACATGACCTCGCGCAGGTGAGCCCGACGCCGCGATCCCGGGAGATGAGCTTCAGGCAGGGGGACGCGGGCGAGATGCGGCCCGGGACGTCTCCGCCCTCGGCCGGTTGCCCCCCATGCCTGGCGTCCTGACACCGGCCCCCTCCAGACCGGTGCCGGAACCCTGGGTCCCAGGCCCGCGAGGCCCGGCCTCACTCAGGCGGGTGGAAAGGACTCTTTCGGATGGGTGGCCGGGCCTGGGTGGTCAGAGGTACCCCGACCTAGGGAACGGACCGTGCCCTGCAGGTGGTGGGTGGTGGTGGCTGGAGCCTAGAGTGGGCAGCAGGCGTCAGAACAGTGGCAGACCCCCCTCTCTCCCTCCCGTGGACCCCTTGCTCTGCTCCAGGCTCCCTTTTGCCCACCAGAGATGTATTGTGCGTGGCGGGGGCATTCCTCCCTTCCCTAGGCCTGAAATCCTGGGCAGCAGCAGGGGGTCCGGAGGATCTAGTGCCCCCTCTAGACTTGGCCCCTTGACCCTGCTTGCCTGCAAGGACCAGCCAGCCCTTGACAGGCTCATATCCCCTCCAGACCCTCCTGAGGGCCAGGTTTTGGAGGCTGGCTCCCTGGCAGGGACGTGTGTGAGAGCTTCCTGCCTCCGTAGGGAGGGAAGTGGGAAGTGTGACAGGAACTGGGCACTTCCTGCCCTTTCTGCCGGCTCCCGGCTCCCTGGGCGTGTACACACGCGTGTGAGCTCAGACTTCAGCATGCATGTGGATGTCAGTGAGGAGCCACACAGATGTAAGACACATGTCACCGTTTCCTGGCACTTGGCACATCCAGAACACTCCCCGCTGGGGCTTGGTGAGCCAGAGGTCACAGGAGGGGTCACCCTATGACCCCCAGTGACCCCCTAGATCAGTGAGTGCCTGGACTAGGGCTGATCTGCGGGGCCCGCAGGGCTTCTCCCTGCCTGAGCCAGGTTCTCAGCCCAAGGCAGAGACCCCTGCCTCCTCCACCTCCACCAGAAGCGCTTTAGCAGTGGAGGTCCTAGGTCCTGCGAGGTGTGGTGAAGAGGCAGCAGGCACAGTGGCCTCAGGAGGTTCCTGGGCCCTCAGGCTCAGGAATAGTGGAGGTGAGTTGAGTCTCTAAGAACCTGTTAGTCCAAAGTTTAACATCCAGCCGGAACTCAGGGAGGAGGGGGTTTAAGGGTCTGGTTGGAATGACCCCTCAGGCTCCCCTCGGCCTCTCTCTTGTTTGTCCCCTGGGCAAGTTCTGGTGCTCAGAGAAGGCCGTGTCCGTATCATGTGCATGTGACCCTGGGCCAACCTGGGAAAGCCCCGGGTGGGGCTCTGCCCGCCCTCGCCAACCCCTCCCCGCCTCACCCTGGGATGACCATCTGGACTGTCAATCCTCTGGCCCCTGGGCCCCTGTCCACACCCCTATCAGGCCTGGGCAGGCCCAACCAAATAAAGCTCGTTCCCCCCTGTACGCCCCCCCGTGGCCCCTTCCTGTGGCCCTGTGGTTTGTGGGTCAACGGGCTCCTCCGTCAGCACCACTTAGCCCAGGGCTCTGGTGCCGTGGGGCAGGGCTGGGCGCAGGTCCTGCCTAGCTCTGTGGTTTGGTGCGTTGATATTGGTGCCTGGGAGGGGGCTGGGTCCCATGGGGGGGGCTGCTGAGCCCCCTCAGCCTCCTACTTCGTCCCAGGGTTGGAGAAGAAAGCATGTCTCTGGTTAGTTTCGTTCCGTGCAGTCAGGATGGACCCTGGTTGAGGTTCCTCCGGGACCAGGCGGGGCCAGGGCCTGGGGTCTGGGGACAGGGAAGTGGGGAAGGACCCTGCCTATGCTCTGGGGCCCTCAGCCCTGGAATTCCAACCTGGGACGCTTCTCCACTGGCCTGTGTGGCTCCCACCATCAAGAAAGTGTCTGCCCTCAGGCATGTCCAGCCCCTGTATCATGTGTGTGTAGGCATATTGACAGGCCACTTATGTGTCTCTCAGGGTCCCAGGGTCGGAGATGTGCCATGTACAGATGGGACACCAAGGCCACACAGGAAGCTGGACTGGCCAGTGGCCAGTCTGGGTTCAGGCTGATCTCATAGGTGACCTGGGCTGTCCCTGGGCTCCTGGGCACTGACTGGGCTCAGTGGGCCTTAAGGGGCCCAGGCTGTTAGATCTATTGGGGGCCCAGTATGCCCTGTCCACCCAGTCTGGCCCCTGTTCTGGGCCTTCCTGGCCATAGGCCAGGGCAGAGGTCACCAGGGCAGAGCCGAATCACTGACCTGCCACGGAGCAGGGAGCCCTTCTGCACAGAGGTGACCCAGGGCCCTGGCACAGAGAGGGTGTGGGGATTGGAGATGGCGACCCGTAGCCTCCCTATCTCCTCCCCTGGCCTCAGCCAGAGGCAGCAAGCCACACTGGCCTGCTGGGCACCTGGCTCCACCTCCAGGCCTGGCAGGGGGCTGTCAGGCCCTGCCTTGGCCTGGGACTGTGGGAGGGCGGTGGCGCGAGCTGCTGCAGCCTCTCAGGACGCCCCTCCCCCAGAGATTTCCACCTGATAGACCCAGTGGCAGCTTTCGGGGAGGAGAGGGGATGGAAAGTATGATTGAGAGTCCCCGAAAGGACAAACAAGGTGCTCTTCACCCCTCTCTGTGGCTTTGATGCCGGGCCTCCACCCTCCCCCTGCCCCCACTCTGGGCATTGCCCGTCTTGGACTGGAGTCTGAGGCTGCTGGGGCTGGGGGGAGGGGGCATCTGGGCACAGGATGTGGTTCAGCAGAGTGGGCGGCTGGGGGGTGGGGGTCAGAAACGTTCTTCTGGGTTCCAGCCCCCCCACCCCCACCCCGCCTGCACCGTCTCAGCATGGGTCCAGGGATGGTACGAGGCCATCGCCCTTTTCCTGGTGGCCTTGCCTGCTCTCCTATGACTGGCTATGGAGGTCACCATGTGGCAGCTCCTCCAGGAAGCCTTCCCTGGCAGCCTCACCTGCTGGACCACTCAACCAAAATTGCCCCCAGGTCTGGCTCTCCTGTGAGCCAGCGTGGGAGGGAACTTGAGACACTAGGCCCAGAACTTGCTCAGGAGGTGCCTGGCTGGCAGCATCCCCACTTCCCCCAGGGAGAGCGTGGACAGGGTGCTGCTCACACTGGGTGGCCCTAGGCAGGTCATCTGAGTTTCCAGGCCTCTCTGAACCAATGTGTGGACCCTGGGGGCTCACTGAGATCAGAACAGAGCCTGTCCTCATGGGGACTTACATCCAGTGGTGAAGACACAGGGTGACAGACAAACAGAGAAGCATGGTGTGTCTGTCTGCAGTTAGCAAGTGCCACACGTGGACGGTACGGGCAATGATGGAGCCACAGTGTTGGCCAGGAGGGTCTCTCAGGAAATGTGAGCTGGGGGGAGGCATGAGCTGTGCCCCAGGTGGGCGGCCAGAGGTGGCCAGACAAGGGCGAGGTCAGTGAACAGAGCGATGGAGAACAAGGATTTCCAGTGGTGGGTCCACGAGGCAAGCCAGTGCTGGCAGGACTCGGAGTCTCCTCCTGAGAGCTGCAGGGGGCCACTGGCAAGTTTTAAGCAGCTCTGATGTGGATTTCCTGAGACTCCCTCTGTCTGCCATGGCTTGGCTGTAGGGGCAAGGATGAGGCCCAGAGACCCGGAATTAATAGTCCAGGCGAGAGCTAGTGGGCGCTGGGCCCCAGGTGGTGGGAAGTGGTCAGCTCCGGGCGTGTTTAGAAGGTAGGACAAGAGGATTCCGATGGACTGGGTCATGGTGCCGGGAAGGAGAGGGGTTGCAAGGCGGGGACCTGAGCACTGGGTGAGTGGTGGCTCCCTTCGCTGAGTGAGGACAATGCAGAAGAACAGGGATTTGGTTCGTTTTCAGGAGTTTTTAATTTTGCAGATGTTAAAATAAAGATGCTGTTACCTTTCCAAACAGATGCTAAGAAGTGTCGTGTCTGACCCTGAAGCTCAGAGCCCAGGTGGGGCTGGAAGTGTAGACAGTGCGTGGACATGTACACATGTAGGCACAGGTGGGGGGCTGTGACACTGAGGAGTCAGAAAGAGGAGGAGGAAGGCCTTGCCAGGTGAGGTGGAAAACCAGGGAGCGTGGAGAACCTCCGAGGACAGCAGAGTGGAGAGCGTTTCTAGAGGCTTGACCGCCTGTGTCACGTGCTGCTGGGGACGGAGGCCTGACCCTGGGCCCTGGGAGGCAGATGAGGACCCAGAGCCAAGGTCTCAGGGGGCTGGAGGGCGGAGGGAATCAGGTCTGTGCGGACTCCGTCGAGGCAAGCAGTGTGGACCAGCAGAGGCCAGGAGAACCTTCTGTGATGATGGGAACGTTTCCTGCCTGCACCATCGACAGCGACACGCGGCTTCCCACAGTGGAGTGTGGCCAGCATGGTCCAGGAACTGGAATTCTGATTTTTTGGATTTCAATGCACTTACTTTCAGATCCCACACATGCTGTGGCTGCCGCGCTGGACAGTGCAGATATAGACTGAGCACAGAAGGCTCCTTGGAGGGGTCAGGACGGGAGCTGAAGGCAAGGGGAGGCCTGAAGGGGAAGCAGGAAGACCTGGAGGGAGAAGGGGCCAGGGCAGCTTTCAAGAAGAGATGTGATCTGATTCCCATTCTAGAAAGATCTCTATGGGGGAGGATCATCCTTGCTCCCATCACTCGAGTCAGCATGGGGGCAGGGGCAGGTCCACCGGGGCACAGCACTCCACCCCATCTGTGCCTAGGTTATGACTGCAGACAACGGGCGGGGCCTGGGGCCACAGGCAGCAGAGGTGGAGTGGGGGCCCTGGTTTCTTACTGGATGCAGGACCCCGGACCCCCACCATGTGTCATGTGTGGTGACCGGGGGGATGTCCCCTGCCCCTCCAGTGGTGACCCCAGTGCCTGCAGTGGACAAGTTGCAGAGTGAAGGTGTTACTGCTCGAGGATGGGAAGGGGCAGAGGGTGGGGGAGCCTCTCCTCCCTTGCTCCTCCCTTGTCCCCTCCCTCGTCCCTTCTTGCCAACACCCTGAGAGGCTCTGGGGCGACCACATGCAATTTACTCCTGGGCCCAGAAACTCCTGCCATAAGGGCACGGACTCGAAAGCACTGTTATGACCTCAGACAGGGGCCCCTGTGCAGCCCTGATGAGGGGGCCGCGGGCTGTCCCAACATCTCATTGGGGAGGCTGTGGTTTGCTGATGGGCTGGGAGGGGAGGAAGGGAGCCCCGCGTGACTCTGGGGGATCCCTAGGGCCTTTGGCAGAGCTGGGAACCCCTGGTCGGGTGGGACCAGGCAGAGAGTGGAGTGTCTGCAGGACACTGGAGGGGTCTGCCCCCACGCCTCCCCTGCCTGTGTCCCCCAGACCCCAGCCCTGCCTCCCTCCCCCCAACCTCAGACCCTGTGGTCACTGCCCGTGGAAGGTGACGAGCATGGGGCAGCCCACGACAGGCACCGTGGGTGTTTGCCACTGAAACGTCGACGGGGGCTGGGGGTGGGTCAGGGCCAGGCACAGAGTGCTCAGCGTCCCTGGCTCTCTAGGGTCACTGACCTGCTGTCCCTGTTCCAGGTGGTTTCACCCCAACCTCGGCGGGGTCGAGGCGGAGCAGCTGCTCCTGTCCCGGGGCCAGCACGGGAGCTTCCTGGCCAGACCCAGCAGGAGCTGCCCGGGAGGCTTCACGCTGTCCGTCAGGTGGGTGGTGCCACGGCCAGGCATGAACAGGCCTGTGGGTCCAGAGGCCTTGCAGGGCCTGAGCACCCTCAGCTGGGGGCACAGGTGGGGATCAGGCTCCCTAGTCCTCCCAGAGGGGTGATGGGCAGCATCCCGGGCAGCAAGGACCCCACTGGGGCTGGACGCCGAGAGTCTGGGTTCGGGGGCGGGGTGGGAAGGTGGGTGGGAGTCCAGCATTCCAGGCCAGGTGGCCTGTGGGCAGGAGGGCACCATTTAGAAGGGCTTCAGGGAGGGGTCTGTGAGGTGGGGCGTTGGCAGGACCTCCCTCTTGCCCTCTGAGGGGTCTGGTGGGGCGGGCAGGAGGCCTCAATGGCTGTGATTGTGCTACTGTCTCATGGGGATGCTGCCCACTGCTGCCCAGTGGGGGTCTGCCCAGAGCCCACAAAAGGGCCGTTGTGTGGGGAGGAGGGGTGGGGAGGGGCTGCAACCAGCAGAGTGGACAGCCGGGCCTGTGTCTGCCCTGGATAGAGAGGAGTCAGTCTGTGAGGAAGAGTGGTGGTCTGGGTGAGGGGGCTTCCAAAGGGCTCTAGATCTTTCAGGTTCTCTGCTAAACCCAAGGCAGTAGGCGAGACTGAGGTGAGCCCTCAGGATGGACTTCCCTCACCCTGGGGCTTCCCAGGCAACATTGTGGGGCCTGGGGAAGCTGTCTTGGGGGCCCTGTCCCAGTCGTCTGGAGCCCCTGGGCAGGTGGTCTGGGTGAGGCAGAGCCCGTCATGGAGGGCAGCCCCAGCCTCGGCCTCCAGGCCAAGGGAGAATCAGGTGCACGGTCTGCAAGCCTAGTGCTGGCTGCCCAGGGTGCCGTGTGGGCGGGGTGCCCACCACCAGGGTGGGGCCCAGACCCTGGCTGGACTGGGAGCTGCAGCCTGGCCTTGGCGCTGTTCCTGGCAGGGAATCTGCAGAGGCCAAGACCTCAGGGCAAGAAAGGCCCAGGGGCTGTTCCGGAAGCTGAGGGTGGTGATGGGAAGAGGGGGGATGGTAGGAGCAGGGCCCCCAATGGTGGCTGGTGCTTGGTCCTTCCAGGCGCCACGACGAGGTGACCCACATCAAGATCCAGAACACGGGCGACTACTACGACCTGTATGGAGGAGAGAAGTTCGCCACGCTGGCTGAGCTGGTGCAGCACTACACGGACCAGCGCGGGGGGCTGCTCCGAGAGCGCAGCGGGGCCCCCGTCGAGCTGCGGCACCCACTGGGCTGCCAGGACCCCACGACCGAGAGGTGAGCGGCTGGCATCCATGTCCGGCCAGCATCTGTGTGTCTGGCCCCGCACGTGTGTGTGTCCGCGGGGGCAGGCTCCATGGGGTGTTCCGCCCCCCGCTCATGGTCAGGCCTGGGCAGAGCTGTAGCAGAGCTGAGGGGGTCCCTGCACCCCTCTCCTGGGCTCCGGGCCTCACTCCTCCAGGTCTCAGCACACCGCAGGGGTGAGTGGGACAGGAGCCTGCAGCCAGTCTCACCGCTGCCCTCTCAGCTGGTGACCTGGGGTGAGCAGGCTCCTCCAGCCTCGGTTCCCCAGTTCCCGGATCGGCACCTGCAGGAAGTGGGGGGATGGGTGGCGGCAGCAGGGTGTTGGGGGGGCAGGTGGGGCTGAGCTGGGGAGGCGGCCCTGCCCTCCTTGCTGAGGACCATGCTGCCACCTGGTGGCCGCCCCAGGCCCCACAGAGCCCACCTGTCCTGCCTCCTGCAGGCTCCTGGGAGGAGAGGGTCAGAGAGGTGGGCTGGCAGACGGAGGCTGGCGGTGGGAGTGGGTCTGTCGGTCTCTCTTTGTCTGTGTCTCCGTGCCTCTCGCTCTGTGTGGGTCTGTGCCCCCTCACCTGGCCAGGCCATGGCCTCCAGTCTCACCTGAGCTCCCTGACTCCCCTGCCCCGGGCCAGGTGGTACCATGGGCACCTGTCTGGCAAGGAGGCCGAGAAGCTGCTGATGGAGAAGGGCCGTCCGGGCAGCTTCCTGGTGCGGGAGAGTCAGAGCAAACCCGGGGACTTCGTGCTGTCGGTGCTCACACAGCCGCTGGACAAGGCGGACCGCCGGCCACGGGTCACTCACGTCATGATCCGCTTCCAGGTGGGAGGCTGCTCGGGGTGGGGGTGTGGCTCAGGGGAGGCCAAGGCGGCCAGGCCCCTCACTGCCGCCCCCCACCCCGCAGCCAGGCGGGAAGTTCGACGTGGGGGGTGGGGAGCAGTTCCACACCCTTGGAGACCTGGTCGAGCGCTACAAGAAGAACCCCATGGTGGAGAAGTCAGGGGCCGTGGTGCACCTCAAGCAGGTATGCTTCGGGCACATGACCCTTGGGATCCAGAGTGGGCTTCTCTCCCTGGGGGGCCCAAGAGACACCGGCACAGCCCCACCCAGGAGAAAGGGCGCCAGGCCAGCACTGGGGCAGGGTGGCCCAGGGGAAGGGTGTGGGCAGGGCAACTGCCCCCAGGGGAAGGTGCTGTGTGGTCTGTGGGTCCCTGCTAAGCTTGGACTGGGCCTCTCCCTGCCAGCCCCTCAAGGCCACGAGGATCAGCGCCTCGAGCATCGACAGCCGCGTGCAGGAGCTCAACAAGGCCACCGACGCCAGCGAGAAGGCCAAGCAGGGCTTCTGGGAGGAGTTCGAGGTGCCTGCCCGCTGCCCACCCCCCAGACTCCCGTCCTCTGGGGCTGGGGCCAGCAGAGGGGTGCAAGGCAGGGAAGGCAGGGTGGGTGCTGAGAGCTCTGGGGAGGGTTGGGGCCACGGGCTGAAGCCTCCACTTCCCCAGATGCTGCAGCAGCAAGAATGTCGGCTCCTATTTCCCCGGAAGGAGGGGCAGCGGCTGGAGAACAAGCCCAAGAATCGCTACAAGAACATCCTTCCCTGTGAGGGCCGGGCAGGGCATGTGGGGCCTCCAACCCCCATGCGGGGGCCCATCTGCAAGGCGGGCCTTGGGGGTGGAGGCAAGGGATCATATCCAACCTTGGTATGATGCTCCCTCTTACACATGCAGGGCCCCTTCCTCCCTTGTCTCGGATCACCATGGGGTCAGTGGGCACGGAGGTGGGTGGGGCCATGAGCTTCCCTCTCCCCTGGAGACCTGAGTGGCATCTTTCCCTTCCCAGTTGACACCACCCGTGTCACCCTGCATGACGTGGACCTCAACGTGCCTGGAGCTGACTACATCAACGCCAACTACATCAGGGTGCGTGTGCACGGGGCAGGTGCACATGTGGCCTGGCATGGATCAAACAGGACATCTTGAGCCGTGTCTGGCCACACGCCAGTCACCCCATCCCCCTGTCATGAGCCTGGAGCTCCTGCTGGCAGCCTAAGAAGAGCCAGGACCTCCAGCGATCTGTGGACCCTGGCAGAACAGTAGATGCTCATGGAGGGAAGAGGGGTGTGGCGGTCCCCAAGGGGTCCTCAGAGTGGACTGGACTAAATATTGGTCCTAAGCCCCCCCAACCTGGGTGGGAGGGACTGTGTGTGAGCCCCCCACCCCGGGACTACTTTGCATATCATTGGCATCCCCTTGTGTCTGTCCTCTGGCACTTTAATTCCTGGAAACAGCAGGCAGCTGACACCCACCCCCTTTCAGAGTGACCCAGAGGAGAAGCCAGGCCACGGACCGGGCAAGGTGTACATCGCCACCCAGGGGTGTCTGCAGACCACAGTGGCTGCCTTCTGGGCCATGGTGCACCAGGAGAACACGCAGGTCATCGTCATGACCACCCGGGAGGTGGAGCGAGGGCGGGTAGGAACGTGGGCTTGTCCCCCCATGTGCTCACCTGGACTGTGTTAGTGGCTGGCCGAGGCTTGCTTCTTCAGTCTTTGGGCCCTGGGGGAGCGGGGAGGGCCCTGGACAGCCCTGTGTGTGGATGTGCATGCCCGTGTCACCACAGGGCACAGGGGCAAGGGTGTTGGTGGTCCCCTAGCACGGCTGATGCAATGCACCCACCCCCCAGAACAAGTGTTTCCGATACTGGCCAGAGCTACATGGCAGCCAAGAGTATGGCCAGGTATGCGTGTGCAACGTGGCTGAGAACCAGGCCCAGGGCTACTGTGTGCGGGAGCTGCAGGTGTGGCGGCCAGACCAGGTGAGCCTGGAGGGCAACGGGATATGTAGGGCCGGGGTCAGCGTGGTCGGCAAGTCCCCAGTGCGTGCTGGGGTGAGAGGCCCCATGCTGGGAGAACCCCCCTACTCTGCTCAACCCAAACCCACTGGCCTTGGTGGCTTCCATGTTCCCCAACCCCATGGGCACAGTCCTGGCCTGGGCTCTGCTGGGCAGTGTTCACAGGTGGGCCATATTCTCAGCCCCAGGCCCCAGGCCCCAGGCGCCCAGCTCCGGGGTGGCCTCACGCCCACATCGTCTCTCCCTGTGCAGTCTCCCCCTGGGCCATCTGCAGTGTACGCCAGTGGTGCCTATTTCTGTCCCAAGCACAGATCCCTCCCCCAGCTCCCTAAGTCTAACCACCTGGGGGGTCCTGCAGGCCCCTCATATTTGGCTCTTCCCCATAGAACTCACTGTCCCTGAAAGCTGTGTCTTCCACCCATGCTCTCCCTTCCCTTCCCAAGTCTCCTGAGCTGACTGGGGCCATCTGGACCCCCAAGCCCTGAATCCCATCTTTTCCTCCCACCTCCTCCTGCTCGGCCTTGGCCCTGCTGGTCACTTCTGGCAAACCGGTCTGAGCCAGGGCCTGCCTCCTTCCGCGGCTCATTCCCCGCGCCCCTCCCACCCCGGGGTCACAGGAGTGCCCGCTCTGACCCCTCGCCGGCCCCACCTGGGAGCTGCCCAGAGAGCCCTGCCCCACTCACCAGCCCGCCCTGCCAGGAGGAGCCGCCGCGGGCGGTGAAGCACTACCAGTACCTCAGCTGGCCCGACCACGGGGTCCCGGCCGAGCCCGCCGGTGTCCTCAGCTTCCTGGACGAGGTGAACCGCGCCCAGAGCAGCGTGCCGGGGGCCGGACCCATGGTGGTGCACTGCAGGTGCGGCCAGGGCGGGCCACGCGAGGCCATGCTGTGAGAGGGTGGGCCTCTGGGCGGGCCGCGCCGCGTCCCGTGCACTCGCCACAGGCCTCCTGGTCCGTCCCCACAGCGCCGGAATCGGACGCACCGGGACCATCATCGTGATTGACATCCTGGTGGACGTCATCCGCAGGCAGGGTGAGCCGCCCCGGCCCTGCCCCTCCCGCCTGGCCCTGCCCTCCCTCCCTGCCGGCCACGCCTCTCCCATCTAGCCCTGCCCACCCTCCTATCTAGCCCCTGCCCCTGGTCCGCCCCAGAGCTATCTAGCCCACTGGCACTGCCCTTCACATACAGCCCCGCCCCTCCTGCCTAGCCCCGCCCTCCCTCCCTGCCGGCCCCGCCCCTCCCTGAGCGCGCTGGTCCCCAGGGCTGGACTGCGACATCGACGTCCCCACGACGATCCAGCTGGTGCGGCGGCAGCGCTCGGGGATGGTGCAGACCGAGGCGCAGTACAAGTTCGTGTACCTGGCGCTGCAGCGGTACATCCAGGGCGAGCAGCTGCGCCTGCGCGAGCAGGTGGGGGCGGGGCCGGGCCGGGGCGGGGCCTGCGTGGGCGTCTCCATGGTGACCGGCGGCCCCTCCCCCCAGCGCGAGACGCCCGAGGACCCCGACTACCTGAACGTGGGCGCCGCCCCCACCGACCCGCGTCGCAGCCCTGCACCCGCGCCGTCCCGGGCACCCGCGGCGTGAGTGGGGCGTCGTCGGGGTGGGGACCGGGGTGGGGTGTAGCCCGTGGTGGGGTGTAGCCCGTGGTGGGGGCGCATGGCCCAGGAGTTGGGGGCGCGGCGGGACGACCGCGCACGGGCGCCGCCGAACCCCGTGTCCTCCCGCAGGACCACGGAGCCCTCCGGCGGCGTGTACGAGAACCTGCGCGGTCTCGGGCGGTGAGGGCGCCCAGCAAGGCCGGCCCTCGTGTTCCTCGCAAGGACTGTGTTAGGACGGTACTGACCGGAGCTCGTCTCGGAGTCGCCGCTCAGACCCTCCGGGCTAAGCCTGAACGCCTAGAGATGGCGGGGGGGGGGGGGGGGGGGGGGGGGGGGGGGGGGGGGGGGGGGGGGGGGGGGGGGGGGGGGGGGGGGGGGGGGGGGGGGGGCAGCAGCTGGGAGACCCGGGTGTCCCTGCCGCTACTGGGGCTCCCAGGTGAGGGTGCAGGAGGGGAGGCAGGCCTGCAGGGCTGTGGGTGTCTCTCAGCATGGGAGGCCACCAGTGACCACGTGTGACCTTGTGTGTGCCACGAGGTTGAGTGTCAGCCTGTGTGTGTGACATGAGTGACCAGCGAGCAGGTGCCTAGTCTGTGCTTGACCTGAGTGTAGCCACCAGTGCCTGTGCCCCGCTCTCCTGCATCCTGTGCTCCTCCATTTGGAGCTGCTCCTCAGCGGTGCCCACAATGCGTGGTCTGGGATGTGGCCCAGGCAGTGGCTCAGTCCTTGTCGTGTCCAGGCTGGGCCCAGGCCCTCTCATTGTGGTCACGTGAGGATAAATGCTTGTTGAATGAGGGAATGTATGAGATGCTTATGAGACTACGTGTGTGACCACACGTGCCCGGCCCTACAGTGACGAGAGTGAGGCTCCGCATGTGCGTGACTGGTGTGTGTCGGCTGTAATGTCACTGGCACGTGCTCCGTGGTCACACCCTGCCATCACGGGTGGCCCTGTGGCTTTGCGGTGTTCTCAGTAAAATACTGTGTTCTCAGTTGTATGTCTTTGTTGGGGCCTGGGGCAAGAGTGTATGTGGTCCCCTCCACTGGGCCCAGCCTCTCCAGGGTTTCCCTGAGCCCCACAGCCCCAGCCAGAGCCCCAGCCAGTTGAAGCAGGAAGTTCTGGGCTCTGGGGCAAGAGGTGCAGATGCTGAGACTTGCTTGAGCCAGAACGGGCCTGACCTCTCTTGGCCATGCCAACCTGGCAATGCAGGATTCCTGGGGCTAGGGCAGAACTGGTGGGCGTGGCGGTGGGCGCTGGCAGGACTCCCACCCATCCCTCGGGACACTGCACTTTCCTGCTTCACCAGCCAGTCCCAGCCTGGGTGTGGTTTGCCAGAGACCTCTGTTTCTGTCCCCCATGGGCGTCGGTTCCCCGGGGACATGGGTTCTGTAGCCCTCCAGTCAGGGCTCCCTGCAGGGCTGTGGGGCCATGATTTCTCAGGGGTGTGGCCTGGTATGATCCCAGTGGGGCACGGGGTGGAAGGCTCTGTCTGGACAAGGCCAAGGCTCCATCCTGGTCCCGTCTGCCCTAGTGCTCTGGTCTCTCTCCCCGTCTTCCTGGGGGCGCTTCACAGTCCTGGGGGGCAGTCAGGTCCAGAATTGCTGCAGCTCCTCCACAGCCCAGAGGAACAGGAGTTGGACCCCTAGAACCTGGGGCCACCTGCCCTAGGGGCCACTGGGAGTCCCACTCAGTGGGGGTGTCCTCTGGATTGAGGCTCCCTGGAGCAGGGCCAGACCCTGGCCTCTCCTGGAGGGAGGGGCTCAGTGGTGCAGAAGGAGGGCGCACAAGAGTGAAGACCCCTTACCAAACATGGACACAAAATAATTTATTTAAAAATGCATAATTCAGGAGGGTGGGATGGGCACTGGGAGCTGGGCTCCCTGCCACTGCCCCTGTCCTCTGGTCAGAGAGCAGGGTCAGCACCCCACCCAAGGGAAGGGGCCAGCCCCGCCCAGGGAAGGGGTCTGGGAAGGAGCAGTGAGTGACAGGGGAAAATAAATAAGGCTGGTGAGCCCCTCCCTTCTTAGCAAGGAGCTGCACTTGCAGGCGATTCAGTGTGTACAGGGAGGGCCTTGCCAGGTTCTCTCCTGGGCCTCAGTTTTCCCATCTGCATGATGGGAGTCAGGGGAGTGGCCTTTGGGGCCCATAGGAGCCTCTGATTCTTGGAGGCTTTGGGGACACTTTTGTATACCCCATCAGGACCCAGCCCCAGGGGGACGGCAGGCGAGCTGAATGGAGTCTGCGGTCCTCAGACATGTTGGGGCTCCTCTGGGGTCCTGGAGACCAACTCCCAACAGCTGCTGCACCCCGTGTCCCTGGCTGTGGGCTCCACGCGTGGAGCTGGGCAGGATGGCTGGCCCTAGTTGTCAGCCAGGGGCCCAAGGGAGAAGGTGGTGGCGGCGGCGGTGGCGGCGGGGGCCCGGGGGAGGCAGCGCAGATTCCCGGTCTTGAGCACGCACTGCACGGGCCAGAGTGCCACGCAGAAAAGCAGGAGCAGCAGGACCACGATGAGTGTCACACGCCTCCAGGCCTGGCAGCCCGCCCAGCAGCGGGCCGGGCGGCCCCGGGGGTGGGCGGACCCTGGGGTTGTTGGGGGCGCCGTGGGCTCAGCAGGCTTGCTCAGGCCCACATCCACACACACGAAGCCAGGGGCCGCAAGGCCAGGCGCAGAGGGCACTGGGCGGCAGCACAGCCTGGTGCCCTCCAGCCACACGGGCTCCTCCTGCCTCAAGTGAGCTGGCATCCTGGCCTGCAGCTGGCGGCTGGTGCGCAGCGCAGGGGCCCCGGCGTTGGGCACGGCTGTGGGCTGCCGGCAGAACGGGCAGGGCACAGCTTCGCAGCCAGGCTGGCCTGTTGGCTGGGCAGCTGCCAGCCTTGCCAGGCACTCCAGGCAGAAGACATGGGTGCAGGAGAGCTCCTTGGGTGTCTTGAAGATGTTGTCATAACCCGAGAAGCAGATGGAGCACTCTAGCGGGGAGGCCACCTTCTCTGAGCCAGGGGTGCTAGGGGACCTGGGGCCACTGGCCGAGCCGGGTGTCCTGGGGCCACTGGCCGAGCTGGGGGACCTGGGCACTGTGCCTGTGGGGCTGCCCCGGCTGGAGGGTGGCATGGCCGTGTGCCACACCTGCTGGCCTGATGACATGGCTCTGAGCTGTGGGACAAAGACCACTGTGAGTGACCACAGGCTGCCCCGTTCCTGGAAGGTCCATCTGTTGCTCTCTCCCAGTCTCTCTCTTTTGCCTAGCACCAGCCCCAAAGATCCTGGGAGGACACTGCCCACAGTGTCCAGAAAGTCCCACCTGTACCCGACTCAAGGTCTCTCTGTTTACCCCCTGCCCTCCCCCACCTCCCCACGCTGAGACGGGGTGAACATACTGGGGGCATCATGCTGACCACTCAGTGGGCACCTCCTGCCGGCCCTGCCCTACCTGGCTGTGCCACTTGGGCAGAAATAAAGGTGATGGTGAAAATGGCCCACAATAGTTACTATTTACATCTGGGCTCCACGAGGCTGGGCCCAGGCCATGTGACAAGCAAAAGGCAGAGAGGGTGGGGTGACTCAACCAGGGTCACCAGGCCGAGAGGCCAGCGCACCCTGGGCTCTCACAGGAGGGTGTGGCTCTGCATCGGGGGGAGTGGGTTTGAGCACAGATCCCAGTGTGGCCGCATGCTCAATTTGCAAGTGGCTGTGTGAAGGTGGGGTGCCAGGCCAGGTGAGGGTCGGGACTCGGGGTTTGGGGGCTGGTCTGAGCTGGTTGGGCTGCGGGAAGCTGGGGAGGGCATGAGCCGGGGTGGCGGCTGGTGGCCTGAGGGTTTGTCTCCAGCAGCAGCCCCAAGCCTGCAGGGCCAGCCTGGCTGGCTGGTGACGAGGGCCTGGTGCCAGCCCTCAGGACCCGGAAACGCACCTCAGCCTGCAGTGAGGAGAATGGGAGGTGGACGAGTCCAGCCATCCTCTCTGGCCCGGCCGCCGCCCCGGAGGGTCACACGAGCACACAGCTGCCAGCCGGGAGGCAGTGGGATGTCCTCCTCCTGGGCCACTCCCATTTCCACAGACGCCCCCCTGGCCAGGCTCATGTGACTGCCCGCTGACCAGGGCCTGCCCAGCCATCCCACCCGTCCACTGGGCCAAGGTCTCCACCCCAGGAAGCCACAGGGATCATGTCTAGAGGAGAGCAGGTGAGGGGGTGTGTTGCCCATCACCTTCACAGTGGAGGAGGTCAGGGCCTTTGGGAAGACCTTGGCAGTGTGACCCCGTGGAGCCCGGGAGGTCCCCCAGTGATGACCCTGACCCTGACTTGCTGGTCAGTCCAGGTGAACTAGGGCGATGACTTTGTGGTGACGCACCGTGAAGGCTTGGGTGTTGCTGCATCAGGATTGTGACTGCCATGAGTCATGGAGACACCCCTGTGATGTCACGAGTGCCCCCGGCATCCTGGCTGAGATGTCACCAAGTCTTGGTGATGGCACTGGCTGCAGGCCAGGCGGTGGCCTCAGCAGGGTCTGGGGGACTGCGGGCTGTCCTCCCCAGGCAGGTTCGCCCCACAGAGCCTGTTCCTTGGCACTGAGGACCCGCCCCTCCGTGGGGTGCCCCGCCCTGAGCCTGTACAGGTGAGAGGTGAGTGCCAGCTGAGCTGGCTTTACCTGGTGGCCAGGGGTCAGCAGAGCCTGGGCATGATCCTCCGGGCTGGCCACAGCCAGGCTTCGAAGCTCGGAGCTCTCCTGCTCCAGCAGCGTCCACTCCTTCTCCTCCGGGCCGGCTGGCCTGTGCTCCACCTGGCAGGTGTCCCTCTGCGGGACTGGCTGCCAGCAGCTGTCCCAGTGGCACTGGTCTGGCAGGTGCGCCCTCTGCTCTGTCCAGGCAGGTGGGATACAGGGGACGTATGTGCTCTTCCAGGTGCGGAGCGCTGTCCCGAGCAGGGGTGAGTTCTCTGGGCTGGGCTCCTGGCAGGTGTCTTTATACGCTCTCAGGCGTGCTGGCCAGGGGCGTGGCATGGGGCCTCTGGGATTGGCTGGCCTCCTGTCCTCTCCCGGGCAGGCTAGGCAGTGAAGGGCGGGGAGTTCGAGGTGAGAAGTCAGAGCCTGGGGTGGGGCTGGGGTCAGTGTAGGCCTCCACAGCCTGGGCAGGTCTGGGGGAGGTGGACACCTGGATAACACCTCCCCCCGTGGCCCTGGGATGCTGGAGCAGCCCCTCTGGAAACAGACCTGCTCACTGACCCCGTTCAAGGCCCTGGTGGCACCTGAGCTCCTGGGTGGGCCTCCCAGAGGGGCCCCTCCGAGGAGCCCCCACAATTCCAGCTCAGCCTGTCACCCCCGACCTGTGCTCTCACCAAGCCCACCCCCATGAGCCCCGTTCCTGCCTGCCCCGTGTCCACACATGTGCACCCCATTGTTCACAGGCACGGCCCTCCCAAGCTTGTGCTTCTGCTGCCCCAGCCCCTCCTCCTGCTCTGGGTCCAGGGACTGGGGTTAGAGGTCAAAGATCAGGAAGAGTCAGGGACCAGGCTAGCCACAGGAACTTGTTTCAGGTGTCTGCTAGGGTCACCCTCGGTTACATACACGGGGCAAGGACCCCAGGGCCCAAGGAAGCCCCCCGCCCAGCCAGAGGTTCCAGAAATCTTCCTGGGGGAAGGGGGAGCAGTTCAGTCAGCATGGGATGCTAGCAGACCACAGCATGGCCTGTGCAAAAGCCTGGCTGGGGCTGGGGGCTGAGGCTGAGGGTGCTGGGGTGGAGGGTGTGGGGGCTGAAGCTGGCGGGACCAGGG